TTTTTTTGTTTGTCAGATTAGATGTTTTCTATATAATTAATTATTATGAGTGCGTTTTTCGCAAATTTGTTTAATTGTCAACCACTTACCTGGGGATATGGCGGTGTAGCAACATACATGCATTGGATGTCACGTGATTTCAACATTGTTGTGATGCTGATGATGATCGATGACGTGGCGTTGTCTAGGATACGTAGATTGCGTTTATCGGTGGCTGTACACGTAGTTTTGTAATACGGGTTACCAACCCAGCATCTGAAATGAACAGTTGCTTATGATGTGAAACTTGCTGACAATGCAAATTAGTTAGAGTTGAGTGGAGTTGGGTATTCTGGAAAAAATGGGTATATGCAGTGGTCACGCCCCTCCAGAGGAGGGAGCAATTGGAAAGGTATGTATAAGTGTGGCGCCAAATGAGGTTCGTATTTTGAGCCACGAAGTCTGGAAAATGGGTCTACATTCAGCAACTGTAGTTGAAAATAATCCTTGAAAATCAACAGAAACATTTTTTAAGCTTTTAAGTATTTCTGATTTTTTTCATATTTCGTGAAAATAGTATACATTTTACATATTGGCTGCTTTGCTTGGAGCATTGGCCTGGCTGTTTTGTTGTCTTGTGCTTATCATATTCAGAGATGGTACTTCCTCTCACACCACATGTAACACTCGCCAAATCGGCCATTTAGGATGCCTAGAAAATTTGTTTTAAAAAATTGCAAGCTGGACACCAAGAGAAAAAAGGCATACCAGGCGTTGCAGGACAAAATGTTGGCACATTCATGAAAGATAAGTATGTAGTACAGACAAGACACCGCGAAACAGAATTACACTAGTCACATTCTTCCAACCACCCTCCGTAGTTTCAAATGGTTGACTCCTAAGTGGCTGGCTCCCTAACGGCACCTTGTGTCACACACCCCGGTTATCTCCCCATGGCAGTGTCGCCATCATGGGGCTCCTTAGTTACCCACCGTTCGCCGGTTTTGTTACGCCAGTGCATCAATGCAAACTTTCCACCGCAAATCTTCTTCTCAATATCATTGGCCATCTGGAGAATGTGTGGCGCTCTGACAAGATGGTGACCAACTTTTCTTCCAATCTCGATCCAATTGGGAATGATGAGATCTCGCGACGGGAAGGCCACAAGGCATCGAACATTATTCACAGTACCATTGTCTTTTACTTCTTCCAGCATTTTCAAAATTTCAGTTTTACTCGGTAGATGAATTCTCCATTTGTCTCTGAATTTAGAGCGTACGTCCCCATAGTTACGCATAAAGAACTGCATTTGCATTGTTTTAATTTGATTATATTTAATAAACATATTATTTTGAAATGTGTCTCCCTCTGGTGGTATAAGAACCTGATCTATCGTTACTTTACTACCACAGTCTCTTTTAAAGTCGTTTAATCCTGTGAGCGATACTATTTTACTCAGTTCCTCGGCGTCGAATGTCTCTGAAAGCGCTCTCTTGGTGTTAACTCCTCCTTTCTGCGTTTGCATGTGATTGTGAAAGGGTATTTCCACAATACTTCGATTTTGTGATAGAGCAAATGACAAGGCATGTCTGAATGGGATATAAAGTGAGGAAGGCCCAGTTGTGTACACAAACATTGGTAGAAGATAGCGTTTCGATGTGTTCTGTGGTGTACTCCAGGGTGTACTGAATAGTCTTTCGAACTGCAATAACAAAAATGGAGTTGAATCAGTTGACACAAGACACACTTTAGGCCAAGACTTTAGGCTAATGCATTTTTCCTTTCATCGCGTAGACTAATAAAAGAAATAACTCCCCTAAACGCTCACTGAGGGCGCACTCTAAACAAGATGCACTTTGTTCACACGATTCCAAGAATTACGTTTTCTTGTCTGATTTGGTGAGCAACATTGTTATCACCAACATTTACAAATTTTACACACCACATCCAAGCCTTTCATTCAGCGAGGGTTTGATTTGATAATATTCATTCTTACAAAAAAACAATAGAAATATAGTTATTGTTATTCCCTCGTAGCGGTTCTTACTAAGTCAAAATCCCAGTTTAATGCTACTCCCTACACCACCATGGTTGTATGTGACGAAACGTGAAGACGGAAAGTGAGGGAGTGTTTTATGTCGATCGTGTTGCTTCAGTTTTCATTGGACATTCGCCTGTCTTAGACTCCGCCAATAATCAGTCAAGGGCACTCACCTTGTAATCATATGAGCCGTTTAAGGACACAATAATCAGACAAATGGTGACAGTAAGCAGAAAAAGGCACAGATATGTGAGACGCAGTCGCCGACAAGCCATGAATACTGGTAATAACAATCTTTAGTGTGTTTATCGCTGTTAATAATTGATTGTGCCATTAATGATAAACTCGCATATAGTCTCGTGCGACCTCAACGGCAGTAACAGGTTGATCTAAAACTTCACGAAGGTCCTGTCTGGTTTTACGCCCGGGGGGCAGTTGATACATAGCTGGGTAGGGAGGTGCCCCTGAGTGCTCAAAAGTGTGACTATTTTTATACCTGGATAGTAGCAAAATCTATACCCATATTTATACCATTTCTGTCACCACTGTTTATTCCAAATAAAACAGTTACCGTATTTGCTCTATTAGAAAAGCATCTCCAATAGAAGCACTTGTAAGCTGCATTGTATATTTATTTATTAAAATATGTACTTTGACCATAGAAACACCTCTGTCACTTACATAAGAGCATATTATTATCACAATGTTCAGGTTATTTAGGTTATTAAATGGGAAACAACAGTTCGCTTTCTCTTTGATCTCCTTAGGGGTCCGCTATCAGAAACGTGGGGTTGAACAAGTATACCAAATCGGAAAAATATTACCGATATTTATACCTAACTTGACCAGAAATAAGACCGATACTTATACCTAAAGTCCAAAAAACGAGACCCATTTCAGGGGCACGTCCCCATTAGGCAAGTTTTATGTATTGCCCCGGGGTTTTACGTTGCATTTCAAAATACTAGTACCGCTACGTCTTTATTGTGATGCTACGCCGTGTAACTGGAGTAAATGCATATTCCATGTGTGAGCGGTACCGTGGTACAGTGCCGGGACTACTTCAGCGTGTAACGATCTGACAAAATTAACGACGTCGTAAACAAATTGAGAATTTTTGAAACATAAAAAACGTGGGATATAAAAGGGAATAAAGATGCGTGTACAATTATATTACAATTACGTTGTGTCCCGCTTTTCAGACTCGTATAGTAGTGCGATTCGTTTAGTGAGGTCGGTTCGTCAGCTTGTAGTTATTTACTAGTACCTTACTCGTTTCTCATTACAGACTCCAATTCACTGCCGTTGATGGCGTCATTTTTGATGATTCGGCGCGTCAGTTGGTGTTTGGACAGTGTACATTCCTATAAAAATTAACACAGATGAGTGAGCCTGTGAAATAACTGACTGGTTTTCGTCTTGGACTGCTTTTTCCAGTTTCTCTCTTTAGCATTTTTTTTATTCGCAAGATGTGTACATACAAGTATTACGTGCGTTTTGTTCAAGCCCCCTTGA